TAGTATGGCATGGAATGACATATCGGAAGGAGAAATTCTAGGCTCTCATGATGTTGGCCTAGTCAGTCGAAACAATAGAAACAGGTCACGGGTCATGTTACGGGTCAAAATGTACTGCCCTCAATAGTTAATTTTACACTACTTGGGAAAACTAACCGAGTTGAAAAGTCCAAGTGCGATTGACGGTAACATTTCCCCTAGAAATGTTTACCGTGATGACGGTTACATATTCCCAAAATTTAATCCAGTGTGATTGAGACTTTTTTGGCTTAAGTCAAATTTGTCAATGTTGCGTCAACTTAAAAATTTGCTTAAAATTATAAAGTCGATTGTACGCAAGACAATGTTTTAGCTAAGATGTTTTGCTTAGGGGTATCTAAACTTTTTTGACTTTAGACATTTGCTAAGCTGAGATTAATAAATCCCGGGCCAGGACCATTAGTCTATGGAAGTGGAATTGATAATATAAATAAAATGAAATGAAATACTGTATATTATACTTGTGTATAAGAAAACCCTTCAAGTTTGATAAGATTTTTGGACGATTTTTATATGTTTGGTGTATAAGATGACACCCCCCACTCCCACCCTGATTCTTTGTCGGAATTCCAACTTTTTGCTGCTTTTTATGGTCTTGATACTTCATCTTCGTGGCTGAAAAACAGAGCTAAATGTGGGGCCAATCTTTCGAATAAATCTATTTTATGGACGTTTTTATATGTTTATCAAAATCTTACTTCCCCTCATTAATTGCGGTCATTCATACTTGATTCAGTAGTAAATTCGCATCCTATAGATGATTTGCACATCTTAGATATTCCATGAAAGTAGCTAAAAAAATTAAGGTAGTATAGAATAATACCAATAAATAGGCCTACTAAATAAAATGGAAAAAAAAGGCAGAATGAAATGTTTTCTTTGGAGTTTTATGCTTGGGTATGTAGAGCATACCTTGCTTGTCTTGATGGTCGGCCACTGCTCGCCAAGACGACCATGAATTAAAAATCAAAAATTTGTATGTGTTGCGCGTTATAAGATGACCCTCTGTTTTTTCGATCGTAATTTGCTGTTTTTAATATACGGTACAATTCTGTTTTTGTTTCATTCATGTTGAAATTATTTTCTGTGAAATAAGGTTTTCGCAATTTAAATTTATGGTTCAGGAAATGTTTTGGAAATTGTTATGATATGTAAAGTGATACTGTAGATCAATATACATGTCAACGTTTCTCAGTGAATGATGCTGAAAACTTTCGACTGGGAAATTCCAAAGAGGATAAAATTAACTTGCATATCAATATGGCTCTTATGTCAAATGGTCAATCTTCCACACAACGGTGGCTGCTAAGTCTAATGAATATCACACTACAATCAATACAGGCATTTCAACAAGGAAGTGTTGTAAATATTGAAGTAAAATATTTTTTCGGATTTTATTATCACAGTGCTTTGTAAAGAACTGACAGAGAAGCATTCTAGCTCATACATTAGCTCATAGTAGTTAAGGTTTGATGGGTAGGCGTTCTGAGCATTAGGCAGTTGCGGATGATGGCATTCAAGGGGTATGAGCGATCCTTTCAACACTAAGGGAGAGTACGTGTTGGCCCCAACCTGGGTTATGGGAAGTTAGTATTTTCAATCAATAAAACAAAATTAAAAATCAATAAAAAAGGAAATAAAAACTGAAATACATTTTGGTAGTGTAATGGTAGTAAATATCTCTTGGTCCCCAGTAATACCCATCACTGCTATCCTTGTTATGGTTGCACACCGCCTTTTTTAAACTTAAGTCGTAAATCCCACGTGCATATGGCCCGGCCGTGTGCGGTAGAGAATGCAGTACACTTTTTTTGGTGGGGATTGTCTCTCGGTTTACTGGCCAATCACCACCAGAAGGCCCCCACTGGAAATAATTCTTTTTCAGACTTTCATTAGTAATTATCCTTGGTGTTTACACCAAATAAATCCATCCATCCATCCATCTATCCATGGCGGTAATATTACTAGCTCCGAGATGGAACATCACTCAACCCATTTATTGTGGTTACAGTTGGCTTGGACTTACAGAAGGCAGTGCCAGAATTATTGTGGTAATGTGCTCTGTTTGAAAGTAGCTAAAGTGTAGTATTACAATCCAACCCAAGAGCTCACCTGGGATATCCTAAACCATGAAATGTTCCCATGAACCCAAAGGGAGTTAATTTTGTTATCCTGGATGAGACTTAGGGGACCCTTGGTTAGATTCACCCTGTCTGGAACCACCACGGCTGTCATCACTAATATATATTACTATATAATATTTATTTACCCAACAGGCTTGGACTCAATATTTTTACGTTACAACATACTTCCTAACTGCGACTTATGCTCTGGATGTTTATCTGATGTTAAAAGGAGTACAAAGGTAAAAAATAAACCATGTTAACAATTAATGCTCCTCTTGTTTTCCAAAAATGTTTGGTAATCACAGAAAACTTAATAATGTGGACAAAGAATTATTATCTTTAATTTTTTTCATTTCTGACCATTGTCAGTCATGAGTTACTACCCAAAAAAGTTTATACATGTAATGACGGCTCTAATGGTAATATATTTCCTCTTTTCCTTTTCAGGGGTGTGCTTTCGTTTTTGGTGCCTGTTATGTGCTTTTTGTGCCCACTTTTTCTTATTGGTACTGGTATTGTTGTTTTGTATGAGCCAGCTACAGACATGTCGTTAAAGTAAATAATTTGTTGATTATTATTATTCCTATGTTATTAGTATTAAGCTATTATTATCATCATCTTAATAATACTTAAGTGTAATATACACCTGCCACCAAAAAAACAATGGAAATTTGCTATGAAATCTCACAATTTGAAATATTTATTTTACAATCAAATAAATATAAAGAAAGTATAATACATACTCCAAGTATTGAAATACACGCCATCATGTTGGGATTCAATATTTCGACATTAATTATGTCATCATCAGGAATGACATCCTGATGATGACATAATTAATGTCGAAATATTGAATCCCAACACGATAGCGTGTATTTCAATACTTGGAGTATGTTTTATACTTTCTTATCTGAGATTAATCAGTGGACCTTTCGGTTTTTATAAATATAAAGCATTTATCAATCCAATTATTGCACTGATACATCATCATATCATCATATTCTTTATATCCATGCAACAGGATCTCGAGCAAAGACTTCCCGATGCCCTCTATTCAAAGCCTAAAAAGAGGTGGAAACATAAATGGAAAAAAATATTCATTTCAATTATTTTACAAATTTTATTTACCAACCTATTTACAACTAGAATATACTTTATGATAGTAAAGAGCAAATAGTAAATCCCTCAGCAAAATATTTTGAATCCCAGACATGAAACTAACACTTAACTTTAATTTGCATAAAAAGACTATACTAAAAGTTGGTGCCAAGTTTTTATTGTTTGGATTCATAACACTGGTGTTTGCATCACATGATGTCTATTTTACTGTGCCCTTGGAATAGTCATTTTTATTTACATTTGTCCCTCTCAACCCACACAAATGGGAACAATTTTCTTTTGAATATATTGTACAGGTATAAGGATGTAATTCTGGTTATGCATAACAATACACCACGTTGAATAGTAGTCTGCATGTGATAGTGTATGATTGCTGCTGTGTCCAAAACATTATCACATTTCTTTGTAATCGATAGAAAATATACAATAAATATATGTATACCATAGATAAGATAAGAAAATCTTTTCATAGCCATGTTCGAATAATTGTGTACACAATGCATTAAAGAGAAACACCACGGTAATAAAATGTTACAACATTAATGTAAAGGTTGAAATAATAATAACAATTCTTTATTGGTCCTCATTCAAATTGGAAATCGGAAATTCACGCTGGGCCCCGGTAGACCCACAGCAGACACAATGCGGCGCTGCCTAACTTAACTATAACACATACCAGACACATACGGATATAAACATTGTCCTTAAGCCGTGCCTAACTCTAAATATGAGGTTTATTTGAGGAGCCAAGCGATCAGACTCCTAGTAAAACCCAACGCTGGCTGAGTTTGGATCAGGGTATTCAGCACAAGAAGCAGGTAAAATACTCAGCGATAGAGGGAAAATATTTTGAGACATCTTATGGTAAGATACAATACAACTTTTATCGTCACAATGGTATAAAATAGAGGTATGAGATATGTTCCCTAAAGTACACTCATATTGTATAAGAGACAGCCTTTATTCAGGTCCCCCCCCCCCAGCCCGCATGCCCTTTCCTGATATGCCACTGCTACACCATCATATTTTATGTAACAAAATAGTTACCCTTCTAGTTGTCCCTTGACCTGGTAGATATACTACTAGTTATTGCTATACTTTAACTGGTATTCTGGTTTTTTTTTATATTTCAGGTGTGAAGACAAACCACTGAATTTGATTCCGCTCTATCTGGCCTCCTATCTGACAATGCTGACGGTGATGATCATTAATCCTGTTATCTACTATTTGTCCGTCAAAAAAGGTAACCAATTTGATAGACATACTTACAGTACTCAAGATGATGCCATGCAATCATCACATGGAATGAAACAAATGACAATAAAAATTGATACAACATAATAGTGGCGGATCCAGTATTTTTATTTGACAGAACCCCAGTAGCAATGGTCCAAGGTTGTGGGGGGTGGGGTGGGGGAAGGGTGTGGCGATCGAGTCAACAATACTCTAGGGGTTCCTACAGTATTTTGTTTTCCAAACGCCTAAAAATAAACCTCTGAGGCATTTTTGGGAGAATCAATTATTTTTTTTTTACTTTCCAAAAAAAAGTGGGGGGGGGGGAAGGGGGGGAAAGGGTGTGGTTTCCCCTGACTCCACCCCAGCCTTGATGAGAGTACTAGAAAAAAATATCTGGTAGGTTCGGGAAGGGGGAGGAGAAAGATAACGTTATTTGATAGGAAAATTAATTAATTTTTATCACACCAATAAATGAGGTACTTTGAATGTTAGCTGAATATGTAGGCCTATCACAAAAGTTGAAAAAAATTACGTAGGCCAGGCCTATACAGTATTTTCTTTTTAGTTTTGAACAATATTGGGGGTAGGGAGCTAGCGGTGGTTTACTAGACTACAGTATATTTAAAATTGGCTTGGGGCCTGATCGTCTGTCACCCGAAGTCATCGCGATAATCAAGAACGTACATGATCTAGGCCCTAGGCTAAACTAGCCTTGCTTGCGAGATTATTCTCCCTACAACACAAGTAAGTACACCTTGTAACAAAGCGACCCATGCGGTGCATTCTTAAATTATTCACACATTATTTAAATGTATTTTACGTATTTGATGATAACACAAATTATTGTCATTATCGATACTAGGAAATACTCTTTCGACATGACCATCACACATCGCATCAGCGCTCGTGTGTTAGTGAAAAAACCCAAGATAGTGTTACCTTCATATTAGTCTACGTCATACAGCCACTGCCCTGCATCTACCGCGTTAAAATAACAATTATAAATAACTTACGAGCCATGCAATAACATTTGCAGCATGAAAAAATGGAGGTCAAATTAAAAAAATTATGTATTTTAGCAAGTATTTAAAACTTTTTTTTATTTTAGGCTTTTGCCAAAATTGCTAAAGCAGTTGATTTTTTTTTCCGTCAATCCAAGATAGTTTTCGCCCATGGCGACTTGGTGATCAGTTAGCGTGAGCCTAGGTAAGGTAGTGCTACATACCTTCCCTGTACTATTTTGATAATTTTATTGACCTAACAAAAAACATTGATATGATCTGCTAATATTTGCTTTGAAATTAAAAGCTGTAAATTATTTATTTGATATTTCACTTTTACATTAGTGGCATCACACAAGAAAATGGCGCAGTCAATCTTAAACTAACGAAAGAAGAGGAATACAACAACTTAAGCTAGACATTAAAAATAACTATAAGAACTAAAAGGAAAATACAATTATCATTGATAAAATTATCATAAAGTATAGACTGTTAAATATTACTACCAATGTGAATTTGTTTTGTTTGTTGGTATGATGTTATATTTTGTTTAAAATTAACAACAGGTACCTTGATAAAACAGTCATGAAGTCTAGACCGTTAACCTTTACTCCGAATGCAAATTTATTTTTATTGTTCAAGCCCTACTCATGTGTTTCATTGCTGGGAAGCAATGTATAATTTAAAATTAGCTTACACAGTTCTGTGTTTGGTTTGAATGCCCACTTTTAATTCCAAGGTCCTTGCAAGGAAAATTATGCAAACATTTTTTATAATGTCTTCATGTTAAATAGCTTGTAATTTCTTTTCATCAGTTAACATAATAATCAAAGGGACCAGAGGGCAGTACACTGACAGAGAAAGAACCTACATAAAGGCTGTACAGAAAAAATTTCTTCGGATTGTGGCCGTATTTTTTCTCTGGTAATGTTGCGTTAATATATTTTTTAAAATATATTTTTAGATTTCTTAGGAATGCACCGTTATATACTGTATTTATAATTGGTCAATCATATTTTTTATTTATATAAATACTATATTACCCATTAAAATTTAACCAAAGCAGGGACATTAGCTGCAGTGGCAGCACCAACGGGACAGGGGGAATAAGCCTCCCTCCATCATACAAGTCAAGTCCTCCCCCCCCCCCTTGAGCCTTGAGTGGATGCAAAAATTGAGAATACAGAATGGTGGTGGCTATTATGTTTAAATTCATCCTTTTATTTACGTGGACTATACTTTTTTTGTGAAACACTTGAAGGGTAAGCCACAAAAAAAAATTATTTCCACTCAGTTATTACTGGTGATTAATTAATAGGGCAGCTCACCAGAAGACAATATCTTCCGCTCTTTTCCAAGGAGTGTAACTGTTCTTGTGTGCAATATAAACTCACTCACCTCCGTAAAACCTGTATAGAAGCCCTAGGGTTTATTTTTTTGCGACCTTTGTATAGGCTTCTTTTCGAGATGGCTTCTTTTTAAGGCTACGTTTGCAAAGTAAATGTGGGGCTGGTTTTTAAAAATGAATGCTGTAAACTTTAGGAATTATAACTATAAATCAATATGGTAAATAGTTTAACTGTAACATCGGTCTGTATATTTATAATTCTTTTGCTTTTTAGTTGGTGGCCGAATGTAATCTTAGGGGCTATCAATTTACAAAGGTCTTTTGCTGATGATGTCATAAATCCGACCTGCGCTCCCAACGAACATGATTGCAAATTGACACATATTCCTCTAAAATATACCATGATGATTCTCTGGTTCTCTATGGTAAGTAAAGAAAGAATATTTTTTATATACATTACTAAAACATCAAAAGATATTCCTTTACATTGAAAAATTAAATTACTGTAAATCACCAACAATTATTAAATTAACTATAGGAATATATAAGTTAAAACGTTTGTAAAAAAAATAAAACCATTAGACTGCTGTAACAAGGAAACATCTTCATGTACCACTGAGAAGGTCAGGATAAGGTCAATAATGAGCACAGGTGGAGGAAACTCCACTCCCACTGGGAAACAATAACCAACATTCAGCTCTTGCTCTTAGATTGATGATGTAATAAGGCCGAGGTATTCAACCTTTTTAATTAGGTGTCTAGTTGTAATCTGTTAAGACCAGCAGTGGGCTGACATGAATTGCAATTTTTTTCAATGCAAGCCCCAACCATTGTCTTTTATAGGCCTACAAGTCTTTCTAATAAGCATATTATTAGACTTGGTTTTTCAACATCAAGTATGATAGGCCTTGTTTTGTTAAAATGAGGTAATGCAGTAACATGGGGAAGGGTGAGGAACAGTGGCGTAGCTATGGGCAGTGCAGCCAGTGCAAAGCCCTGGGGGCCAAGGGTATTACGGGCCCATTCATAAATAGACCACAATAATTTAAAATAATTTCCAACTTTTAAGAATAAAACAGCCAGTGGGCCCCTCAATAATATTCGGTTTTTAGAGCAGTAATTATTGATTACTGTGTTGATTTTAAATCGGTGGTGTATTCGAAGAATCCCCAGCTGGCCAGCCTACCCTCACCCCTCCCTATTTTTTTTCAAAATTATAAAAGAAATTGGTAAAAAGAAACTATGTTACAATTTAAGTCTAAGCGTGCCATTTCCAGCCATCTAGAGGTGATATTCATAAGAATTTTTATCTCAGCCCCAACCATGGTGGGGCTGAGGTGGTCTTCACCCTCCACCTGTAAAAATCCCCCCGCGGCCCTACTATTTCGAATTCCCTGACCCGCCACTGCAATTGTTAAATTTTATGTGCCACCAATTTTCTTGAATAGTTTGGAACAGCTGATGAGACCAAATAATGCCCTCTTAAAATAGTTACGAATTCGATTATCATTATTATTTTTTACTAGCCCAGCCTTTAGGGTTAGGGGCTAAAAGAAGCACTTCTTATGACCTTTTTGGAATTCCCCTATCAGATCAAAGGGCCCGGCAATTAATCTTGCACTGGGGCCTTTCGCACCTAGCTACGCCGCTGGTGGGGAATAAAAAAAACTTGCATCCCATCCTCTACTACCCTACCACTAGAAATTTTCCAAGCATAAATAATCTACTCATGTACTAAAAAAACAATGCTAGAGCCAGAATTCATCTGATGAGTCCGATAACCCTAAAAGGGCCAAAGGTTTGTGCGGGCAAGACCAAAATTTTTTTTACCCCAGGATATTGGGGTTATCAGAATTTCAATCTATGAACTTTTGTGTATTATAAATGATCAATCTATAAGTATACAGTTATGATTCAAGAAAAAATAAATAAATATATTTGTTAATCATTTAATAAAGTTTAATGGCCATGCTTAATAAATTCATGCAGGAGGAATTTACAAATTTGTGTACAACACTTTTATGTCTTCAATAATAACAACAATAATGATAGCCTTATAAATGCATAATGTTTATACCTCTAAAGTTCCACCAGCTCAGCCATCAGTGTTCAATTTTAATTTATAATTACATAATTATAGAAATAATAATAATAATTATAATAATTATCTTTTTATATCTTGTGATTTTATTGTATGTTTATTACAATTTTCGCCTGTAAGTGGGAACGAAGAGTTCCTGTTGGATGATTGCTATAAAATAAATTTTAAAAATAAAATATATATATTTTTTTTTATATATATATATACATATATATATATACAAATTATATTATATTAATACTTATAGACAACCAACTTTAATATTTTATTTCATTTTCTAGGGTGTGTTGAATCCTTTGCAAGCATTTTTAAATACATTGGTGTATGTTGGTTGGGGAGGGTGTTGCAATATTGCCTTACCGTCATGGTGCCAGAGGCGAAGAACTCCAGATAATGCTATCACCGAGTCAGATGCGCTTGATTACCTGGAAGCAGAAAGACAGAATGTTGGGAAAAATACGCTAAGGCCGATGCATGTTAATGAGCATACACCACTAGTTGATAAAAAGCAGACACATTAATTGCATTCCAAGGAAGAGTATGGAAGATGTTAAAACGAAAATGTTTTTTGCATAATAAATCCAAATTTTGTGTATAATAGTCGTTTTTTATATTGTACAATATTTTAAGACTCTACTGTAACTAGTATTATATGTAGTATCATTCAAATACAAATGGTATTACAGTATTTTGTATGAGGATTTTCAGCAGTGGTCATTTTAGCTTTCTATGCTCAAATGCATGTGCAGTTGGTGTCGTGATTTTGTTTTGACTCCAGTAGATCTTGTCTCTGTTCCTTAGTGTTTATAAACAAAGGGATGCACCAGGGTGGTGATGGATGGTGACCCTGAAGAGTGTTTGTCTTTATTTTGCCTGTCTACCCATATATGTCATTTCAGTTATAAAATAAATATACATAAAAATAAATAAATAATTGAAATTAATATAATTACGGCGCCGTGAGCAGCTCTGCCAAGAGATGGATACATGCGCCTAATAAGATGACATTATTATTATTAATATTATTAGTGTGAATTTCTTCATGGAAATTGGTATGATTATATGAAATTGCGATTCAATGGGCCTTTTAGACTGCCAACGATTAAGAGAGGATTGGCATAGCATCAGGCAAGTGTTTACACAGACAGAAGACTTGTCAGCTGACGGAGTGTATGAAAGTTAGGCAAGACTTTTTTCATAACTTGTTTGCGAACTTATTTGTTTTGAAGATCGCCAGAGGAGGGCAAAAGAAAGTAAAAATAACATTTTGTTTTCTTATTTAGCAAATAGATTTGTCAAAAACATCCAGATGGAGGAAAATCTAAAATAAAATTTTATTGGTGAATGTAAATACCTTAGTGTTTATAAACAAAGGGATGCACCAGGGTGGTGATGGATGGTGACCCTGAAGAGTGTTTGTCTTTATTTTGCCTGTCTACCCATATATGTCATTTCGGTTATAAAATAAATATACATAAAAATAAATAAATAATTGAAATTAATATAATTACGGCGCCGTGAGCAGCTCTGCCAAGAGATGGATACATGCGCCTAATAAGATGACATTATTATTATTAATATTATTAGTGTGAATTTCTTCATGGAAATTGGTATGATTATATGAAATTGCGATTCAATGGGCCTTTTAGACTGCCGACGATTAAGAGAGGATTGGCATAGCATCAGGCAAGTGTTTACACAGACAGAAGACTTGTCAGCTGACGGAGAGTATGAAAGTTAGGCAAGACTTTTTTCATAACTTGTTTGCGAACTTATTTGTTTTGAAGATCGCCAGAGGAGGGCAAAAGAAAGTAAAAATAACATTTTGTTCTCTTATTTAGCAAATAGACTTGTCAAAAACATCCAGATGGAGGAAAATCTAAAATAAAATTTTATTGGTGAATGTAAATAGTGTAGTAATGGGATGCTCTAAATTTATATTTATTTTTGGAGATTTCAATGCAGCGGTGAGCGTAGTACACCTGTCTGCCCCGGTTCCTCTTTTTAGGATTGTGGTCACTTTTGCCTGTTGCTGGCACCAGCACTGAATAGGGCACAGGCATTTTGTGGGGCGTGGGGGGGGGGGGTGCAAGGCGTAATACAAAGTCTATTCTGCCAAGGCAATGTGATTACTTGCAGCTGATCATAAAAGATATTTTATGTGTATATTTTGGAGTTAAATAGATAATTTTTATATGTAAACTTTATTACTTCTATATACAATGAAATTGTATTGGTTTTTAAAAATAATGAAAGTATAACAATTATTAATAGCAGCTATTGAATGTTCTTAATTACAAATTTTATATATTCTTAATTGCTACTTAATACTTGACACAAGGTCACAATTTTAGAACTTTCTGGAATTACATTTTCGTTAAAAAAAAAATAAAAACCATAACAGCAATTTTAATCTATTGATTTAATATTTGCCAATACATTTGTGATTATATTTCCAATTGTTACTACTTAGCACTTGAATAATGAAAAACTTGGCTTTTAAGAATTTTCATAACAGAGTATTTTCTATTTAAGCACCTAATAATGCATGATATTGTCAATATCTTTAAGTGTTGATGATGATCGTACCTGCTGAAGACATATTTTGGGTGAAAATAATGAATTTAAGTAGTGTTCCTTTTTTTTAAATAATATTTAATTTTTATAGACAAAATTGTGTAATAAATGCATTATTTATGTTTTCTAATGTAATGCTACTAATCCTAACTGAAACATTTCAGATGATAGACACACTCATTTGCCACACCACTTGGGTCGTGGAATGTGGGGGCTTTATCATATCAAAGCACAGTTTTTATTTGTTTACTACAAGTGAACTAACCTCCTAATTGGAATGGCCACTGAAGTGTATGCAGTTGAAGGGCTTGCTACTGTATTGTATGATTCAATTTAAAAAGAATATAATATTGCTAAAAAAATTTTAACTTGTTTTAAAAAAATGTCTTTCCAACATTGATTTAGTTTAATAATTGATATAAATTATTAAATCATACTTATAATATCTTGAAACTTATGCTTTGAAATAGAACTAGCAAAATGATTTTTTGTTCTAGAGAGGATTTTTGATTTGCCATTAATAATAAAATCAACCTTAAAATCGTTTTTTGGCTTTTTTTAATGAAGTTATAGGCGATTATATACGATTTTACCATGA